CTGTTGCGATCGCTATGGTCAAAAATCACGATGGTCGATACTCTAATTCTACAGAAACACTTCAAAAATTTAAAAAATTCTGAAGCATTACATTGCGAATATCGACACTGATGTGAGGAATTACAAGAATCTGAGAATATTTTCTACTGGAATTGATGGAGTGGGCGCTTTTAGGATCATGCATGCGTTATGTACGCTATCTCAATATTCGGTTAAAAATGTGCAGGAGAAATTGTCATGGCACATTGCAAATAGCCTTGATCTTAACAATCTATCTTGAGTTTACTTAATGACAGTATTCAGACAGTATCTTAAGTTTACTTGAACCATTCCTATGGTTCATTCATAGGCTTTCCACTTTTTCTTGCGAAGATCGCATGCAACGGATGGATGGATCTCATAAGATGATAGCTGGATAATCAGAAGACAGATAGCGTGCCCTATTTATGGGATAATCATTACGCATAAATTACTTCAAGACGAGGGCAATGTTTTCAATTATCATGAATGACATCGTCAGTTTATTCCAGTTCACAGCTTATAGTTTATAGGTTCGTGCAGTTGCTTTTGCTCATGCATAATGGTTGTTTTGTGTGCTTTTGGAATCATCCGTCTCAACTTTGCGTATAATCAATCCATCATTCACATGAAATCAATTTCAAACTTCAAAATTTCAGATATTTGTTTGTGCCATTGCTAATTAAAGCGTTCAGTGCTCATGTTTTCATTTTCTTGCAAAAACTGCGCGCAGCTCTTCATTTTCAAAGACATCTCTTCAATAGCGATTTTCAAAGACAATACAAAAATAAGGAGGCCGATGCTAGAAGCTTTGGCGGATTGTCCGTTACTGACCCATGACGGATGTTGAAGGATTTGCAAAATGACTGCACTTCGTCGTGAATAGACCGATTATCTAAATTGCTATGACAAAATTCTTGAGGTTTTCGGGAGTATTTTTATGTTTTTGTTGGCTACTTCCGTAATCGAGCTTTTTTATGCTTGCGCGTTGCCAGTTCTTTAATTAAAAAATGTTCAATTCAAGGTGAAAGCTTCCGAGTATTATAAAATCGTTTCACGATGTTTTTAGAATTCTTTTTTTCAATTATTTGAAAAATCTCTTGTAAATTTAGCTTGAATCGAACTGAGTGAAAACGCTCGCATTAAGGTCAACCAAATCACATCAAGACAGATGAAATAAAGAACGCATTATGTAGGAAGTTGAGATTATAATCACGTATTCTTCTGCTTCATCATTTTGAGTTTTCATCAGTGGAAAGACGATGGAAGGATGATTATCAATGGATAATGAAGTATGATAAAGAAATATCAGAGGAAATCACGCAATAAATACCGCACTAATGGAACAACGAGAAATTCAGATGTAGACTAATAAAATGCAAATGAAATAGGTGATTAATTAATTGAATTAATGAAGAGAAACCAATAAACAATGTCATTGACTTAAAAAACTCACATTTTAGTTATTTTATTAACACCTCCGGTGTTGCTGTTGTTGTTGCTGCTTCTCTTTTCCGATTTCAAAACAATTTTTTTCTGCGTATTCGATACTGAAATTCAGTGAATTATACTAGGTGACAATAGGGTAACAATCGTAACAACAATAGCGAAAATAGCACGACGATAGCAACGAATTAGCACTGAGGTGTGGTTAGCACCTGAACGCTTAATTACTGAAATTGAACAGGTTAATATGGATAATGAACGACACAAAGCATGAATTATTTCACAAATTAAGAAGTTCAATCAACTTCAGCAGTTTTCCTGTCTTCCTACAGTGCTGAACTCAAAATTTCTTCACTACGATGAGAGAATTTCAGGGTGATGTGAGCATGCAAACATACCGGGGAATATTTTCAAAGCGTGGATGTTCCTATATTCCTATAATACACGCACAGATTGAAATTATCAAAGAATCAATGTGAAAATATCTTCATGACGGATAGTCCTATCAAAATTTCAGAATTAATTGTCATGAAGTTTCGAGAATGTTTGCGATGGTATTTTCGTATTAGTAACGAAAGCATCAACAGCTTAGCAAGCATGATGCCACCTCTGAGGAATCACAACAACACAAAAAAAAATGTGTCGGTCTTTTGGACTCACGCATCAGCATGCATTGAAATGATAAGGTTACGATGCGAGAGTCCATTTCAATCAATCGATTCTGAAGCATGCTATGCCTCTGCTTACTGCATCTATTGTTATGACGTAATGCATGTGTTCATTGTGCACCTATTGTGTTGCATTGGTCAAGCAACATTGAATATCAAA